GTTGCCGCTGCGTTGGCTTCCACTGCTTGATGTATTCGGCCGGCTGCTCGCTCGTACAAAGTCGGCTACTGAAGCGCGGCCGTAATGTTGCAGCAACTGCAGCTCCGATCTCCATTATAGCAGTACTTTGTGCAAGCGTGCGGCATCTTTAATTCAAACTCGCTCATTACTTCTTCGACGCTTTTCTGATTCTTTTCGCTGGACGAACGGCTCATAACGACAACTTAGTTTCTTCTCTTCTCTGCTTCGCTGCGTACTTATTGAGCTAAGGACGGCTTAGCCCCCATGTTAGTTCCTCACGTGGTGCTTGACTGTAGCAGCGAAAGACAGGGAGGCATACCAGCACTTTATTCTTCCAACGAGAGCTTCGCTTCAAATATAACGACAAGTGAAACGACGCGTAAAACGACGAGCCGGGGCGTCGCACATGCTGTTCAACAGAAGACGAGATGCTAGTAGCGTTAGTAGTGGCAGAATGTAACAGACGAATGGCGCTTGTTGATTCCGAAACTGAGGGTCTGGATTTTAGTGAAGGGTTTATATAGGGAAAATTAATGGAAGGAAAAGAAGAGCAAGGTAGTTAGTGAGTGAGAAGGTAGGTAATATGGAATTATTTAAAATTTGGTGGAACTGTTAGAAATTAGTGAGTGGTGGAAAGTAGGTCAAAGTGTTAAGGATTATTAAGCGGAGGGAAATTGAATTGTAGGGCTGCAGAAAAAATCCTCTTAAAATTTCAGCTTTCTAGCTTCTCTGGTTTCGAGTTAGCAACTTACCCGCCAAAAGATTTCATGGGCCCGCACACAGAACCACATTGATAAAAGCGTCCACTTTGGAAATAGGGGCCCACAAATGCGTGCAGATCGAGTTATCAAAGTTTCAGACTTGTAGCTTTTGTAGGTCTCGAGATGAAAAATCAGTATAGACGAACACACAGTAACACACACATACTAACATATACTTGCGCACGGAAACCCCTTGAAATGCTTTTTATGCGTTTTTTGCACCTATGCACTGCAAAAACGTATACTGTCGAGGGATTGTGTGTGTCTGTAACGATTTTTCATTTCGAGACTTACAAAAGCTATAAGGCTGAAACTTTGGGAATTTAATCTATATGCATGGGCAGGCCACTATCCCCAAAATGGGCGCTCTTTCTCCGTACAGGGCCGTGAAACTTTTTCGCGAGTAAGTCGCTAACTTAGTAACCAGTGAAGCTAGAAGGCTGAAATTTTAAAATGATGTTCCCGGTCCATGTGGAACCTAATGACTTCAAGCTCTGCTCACAGTTGTGCGTGGTTCTCGGCTGCCGGCCTGTGAAAATTTTTGGCGGGTAAGTTGCTAACTCGGAAACCAGCGAAGCTAGAAGGCTAGAATTTTAAGGGGATGCTCTCCATCCACATAGGAACTAATGAGTTCAAATCTAGCCCCAGCTGTGCGTGGTTGTCTCAATTGTACACATGGGCTGTGGTTATTCCAGGTGCACGCATGGGCCGGTGGAAGTTTTTGGCAGGTAAGCTGTTAACTCTGGGGCCAGGAAAACTAGAAAACTGAAATTTTTAGGGAATATTTTCTCACAGTCGTAATAGCCAGTTTCAATTTTTTATCTGTAAGCTTCTACCGGAAAAAAGTGCCGTTATCGAGAAAAAGGTGTGCAGAACTGTACAAAAAACGCATTTTCACACCGGCAGTCGGTACGTTGGCCAATTATTTGCATTGTAAAGATGCAAAAAAAAAAGAAAATAATTGGCCAACGCA